TTATTATTCAAAGTCCTCAACAAAACTCATCATTAAAAATTATAATTTTGGACGAGAGAAAATACTGAATAAATTAAATATACTACTAATATTTAATATTCTTTATATAATATAATACGAGTGTTGTTGTTTTTCAAGGCTCAAAATTATATTTTGCAGAAGTGAGGAGGGGGATGCCAAACATTCGTAATTCCGCTACTGCTATCAAAAGAAAAATTTCGTTTCTCGCAAAATTGTATCCTATCGATAAAAATGACAATTAATCGTAAAACTTAAAAATACAAAAACGTAATCACGTATAAGTAATCCGATATGACAAATTAATATTTCATTGGGAAAAACTTGACGAGCTTTCGAGCAGCGGTGTGTTCCCGATCGAAATAATCGCTTCGAATAATAATTACCTTTCGTTAACGTTTGAAATTGTTTCACGTATCAAGAAATTGTCATGATTTTAATTTTTTCTATTGTATTTTTGACTTTTCTTCTCTTTTCTCTTTTTTCCTTTTTTTTTTTTTTTCGTTCTTTTTTCTTTCTTTCTTTCTTTCTTTCTTTCCCATTTGTTATTTTTCTCCATTTATTTCGTTTTATTATTTTCGTAGCCGTCCGAGGCGATATTATAATTGATTTAAGATATAAAAACGATATTTCCACGTATATTCCACGATTCGCAATTTATTATCTCCGTGAACAATTTGCAAATGTCGTTTCTATTTTTTTTGTTCAATATTCATTTGGAAAATTCTTTCTCTCTCTCTCTCCCTTCATTCATTCATTTACTGAACCTTTTTCTCTCTCATTCACCTTTTTTATATGATCTTCTATATTTTCTTTTTCTTCTTCTTCTTTATTATTATAGCAAAGAGTATTCGCGCGCGCATTTTCTCTTACAAATAATTTCCATATTTTTACGAAAGAAGAAAAAAAAAAAAAACAAAAAGGAGAAAAATATGATAATACATTTACTCGAAAGGCTTCTATGAATCATTGAATATAATAAGAAAGTCAAGAGGCGAACAATTTTATGCAACCTACACTATTTTTATATATATATATTTTTAGTGTAATTAAAATTATTTTCTTTTTCTTTTTTTATTAACTTACACATTCATATAAATATTTTCCTCTGTATAATCTAATTATCAAACAACGAATATTATAATATTTTATTTCTTAACATTTCAAACGCAACAAAATCATATCAGTTTAAATCCTAGATTTACCCCCTATTTTTTACTTTTATTTTTAAACTAAACGTAAACAATTTTATTGTTGTACTTTAACGCTAGAAGCAGTATTGCGTAATAACATTTCAATCAAAAGGGGAACGCGCGTAAAGAGAAAATGTATTTCTAGAAATTGATTTCGACAAATAAAACTGGACTTTAAAAATTATATTGTCAGCTTGGACAATCAAATCGGTGAGCTTTAAAAATTCAAGTCAAAGTAGATAAGACGTATTCTTTTACGTTATCACTCGTCATCGTCATCGTCGTCTTCGTCGGTTTTCGTTGTCTTTCTTTGTTCGTACAACAAATAGTCATAAATCTTAAAATCGTACAGGCGGACTTCCTCGTAATTTAAAGGCGGATATATCCTTGCTTGCTACCTTGGTTCGCGTGACAGAACTCATGAAACTGGGTTGACGTACCACTGACACAGCCCGAGGACGTCGTAAAGCTCTGAGAACGAACGAGCACCCTCCTAACACCCCCTGCCAACCCTCCCACCCTCCCTTCCACACCNCCCCCCCCCAACTACATCTCTCTACTCCAGTATTAACCCTTCGCATAATCCCCGTGACATCATGCTTTTATATCTCTTACATAAGCTACGCACCGTGCACTCACAATGAAATATAACCATGAATTTACTGAATAGAAAAGAAAGAAAGAAAAAAAAAATAAGGCTAAGCTTATTGTCATGGGCTCCTCGTGGCCCTTTATTGTTAGAGTGATGAAAATACAAAAAGCTACGTGAATTGAAAAAAATAAAACAACAAAAACGGGAAAATAAGGTAATGATGATGCTTACTTAACAAATGAGAATATTAGAATTGTTTTTCTTTGTTCTTTTTCTATTTTCTGTTTTTTTTTTGTTTCTTTTTATATTTTATGGGTCTATATTTTTATATTTTTAAATAAACACAATTTTAATATTATTTGGTAAAAGATGTTAGATTAGTTTTATTAATCAATATATTTTAATAATATTACACGAATTATATAAAGTAGATCTGTTGTTTTAAAAAAAAAATAAATGTTTCTCCCTTGTTTTTGAACATCTTGTATATAGGGCGAGATGCTTAATGTATCACGAATTGTTTTTATAGAAAATTATTTTTTCTTTTTATTATTATAATTGATACGATAAATGTGATTGTTTAATGAGAAAATAATAATTTTATTTTATACAGTAAATATAATTTCGTTGTTAATAATAATAAATTTAATTGTAAGAAAGAAATTATAGCAAAAATAAAATAAAAAAGAAAATACGAAATATGGGTTTTGTAGAATTTATAAAATCTGTAGAATCGTTCATGCGTTATTCTTTTGTGAAACTTAGACTCCTTATCGTTCTTTGGATTTCTTTTTAAAAATTATTGCTCGATCTTACATTCCTTTCTTCATTCTTTCTATTTCCCCTCTCTGAACACGATGCTTATCAATTTCTTTGTGAAATCATTTTATTCATTCGTCTGTAAGCGAATTTCGTAATATTTTTCGACTATTTTCTTTCCTGTCGATTTCTTAAAACGATTTATTTTTTTTGTAAACAATTATATTCTTAAATCGATATAACAAATACTTTATTTTTTCTTAAAACAATATAAATAACAATATAATAATAAATCAAGGAGTTAATAATAGATTTTAACAAAAGTAATATTGAAATTTATATTTAAAAAGTATTATAACGTTTATTTATTTAAATAGAAAATACTGCAAGTTTTCTTTGATTAGAAAGTTTCTTTAATGTTCATAAATTCTTAATAATGATTTATCATCATTGAAAAATCTTTAAAAGGAACTATTAGAAGAAAACTTTTATTTCATTATGTCAAACTCTATTATATTATAGCATTTCGTTGCATAAAAGATAAGAAAAGACGATTTTTCGAGATTTTGCGAGAACGGTGTTAGTAAGGGGGAATAGAAGGAGAGTAAAAAGTCGACTTGCATGTCTACAAAATAGCGTTACGTTGGAAACAAGGCGTGTTTGTTCAATAACTTTGAAATCCTTTTTGTAGTTTCACGGTTTTATAAGCGTGCACAACATCTACGAACGCATACGAAAGCTTATATTATCCGTTATAGTCTTCTTTATATATATATATATTTTTTTTATATGTATGATGTACGTGTACGAAACTCAATTTTGAGAATATAAAGAGAGAAATGTAGATATTTTATTAGACTTATTTGTAGGACAATATTATTATCTAACAAGATCAATATATCTTATCTTATATTATAATATTTTTCTTTTTATTTATAATATTTATAATATATATTTTTAAATAAATCTTTCTTATTTTATATATATATATATCTACGTATAAGATATATATCTTATCTTATCTTATCTTATTTTATTTCGATAGAATTACAAAATTTCTTCGCGAAAATTGACCTTTTCCAATAAAATAAAACTTTTGACCGCAAAAAAAAAGATTATTATTTTCTAAAATAATCGACATTAGTTTACCTATAGAAACTTCTTTTTAACTTCTTATATAAAAGTTTGAAGGCAGATCAAAGGAAATACAAAACATCCTAAAATTGTATCATCGTGATCACTCAGAACGAAAATATCACTTTTCAAGGTTTATCGATACTACCAACTCATATACATATATATTATTAAACATATATAGATGTATACATACATATATGGTACATACATACATGGTATATGTCTTCTTCATATACGTATATACGTGAACATATATTTTATCGTACACGGTGTTCCCGCATACGGTGAGGGTAAGAAAGGACTTGCAAAAGCATTGAAGCGTTCCTAGTCCAGTAATCAGGCATATATGTTAGCCATTGACAAGCATCGAGCCATGATACGTGTTCGACCGTAAAACGATCTGTTCCCTTCACCCTCCCCCTCCCCCTCAGCACCCCCCCATAACACGTTATATTCAATATCGCGATATAGACATACATATATACATGTATTAGATGTAGTAGTTAATTCGGTGCCTTGATATTAACACTAAACCTATCACACGATTGGTCAAATGATACTTTTTAAACTTTTTGTTATAATGCTATTTTGTTAATCAATAATTTTCTTATTGTATAAATGATATATTTTTTACTACGCATAAATCGTAATATATATATATATATATATATATATATGGGTTTATGAAGATGAATCATTTGTGATCCCGCTGTAATTGAAATAAATATATATAATATACAATACAAAAGAACACGATACCGTTTATAGTATTGAATTCATTTTATTTAAAATAGTCATATATTTTTTTCGTCAAGGAAATAAGCGAGTTACCTGAAAGATGATTCGAAAGTCATCGAAAATAATGATGATCGTAGATACGTATGTGATTACTTTATAAATAAATAGTAAATTTGTGTATTAAAATAAAAGGTACCGAATTAATTACTACATTTAATAATAATAATAAATAATGAACAATCTCTCTAGCCCACGTTTTATTACTAATTTCCTTAAGATCATTAAAGTCAAGCAACGCGGGCACGGTTAATAAAATATATAGGGTGACTTGTTCGAGAACCCACAAAAACCATCTTCTGTTAATTCCAAAGAGTTGATAAAAAAGTTAGGACCTTTTTGATAGTATTGAATAATAAGTGTTATATTAAGAAAATGTCTGTAATTAAGAAATGACTCGGAACCCGTAAAAAAGGAGAAATATAAAATAACAAGAATAATAAGAAATAAGATAATAATAATAAACGAATATTAAATAGAAATTGTTATTACATTTTTGATTACAGCCGGAGAATTGTATATCTACGTACGAACCACATGCATATTGCGTTGTTTATTCAACGACGGATCGTGCATCTGCGATAGTAGCTGAAGAAGTTCTTCAGACACTTTGGCGTAGCGACCACGTATCAGCGAGGGCGGTCATTCTCGTTGGAAACAAGGTTGATCTAGCTAGGAGTCGTGTGATATCGACCGAAGGTAACCTATTGTTTATATCCTACACGATTTAGAACGTCTATCAAAATCCTTATCGCCGCATTCAAACGAGATTCCGCATGCAAGCTGCACCATTTGCCACGGTCCCACTTCCGGAGACTCTTTGTTTAACTGCAATCCTAGACTGCTAACCCTATTTCTCTTTTAACTTAAACTTCCTTGTGTTGTTTCTTTTTCAATACATCTACGTATTTCCGATGGTAATTGTGTCTCTACCTATACGAACAGATTATCTTTGTTTCTTTAATACGTACAACAAATTGATATAATTGTCAATCTATATGTTACCGTCATAGTCGGAAATCAGTCATTGATAGTAATTCCTCGGCATTCTCATCAATGCAAAGAGCATTCCGATGAAGTCGGAAACAGAAGAATTTTTACAGTTTTTCCTAAGCATTGAACATAATACTTTGATATTTTATAAAATATCAAAATGCTATTTAAACAACGTTGAAATCTCTTTCCGTGGAAATCTCTATGAATATCTGTCTAACTAATGTCTACAAAATATTGAAAATCGATTTATAACTCGATAATGTATTTTCCACGTAGGAAAAAGGAAGTACTTTAATTTAATATAAGAGTCATTAAAATCTATTCATTCTTAGTATAAAAAATATTTACAGAAACTTTTCAAAGAAATATTAGAGATTGTGCAATGCTATAAATTGTACAACTTGTAATTATGTATAACACATGTTGTAAATTAAAGTTTTCTATTTATGTTATTAATGAATAACACAAAAGACTAATTAAAAAAAAAATTCGTTTTGCAATTTATAACAAATGTTAAAAGCTCGGAAATTATTTCCAATTAATTTCAATTAAACAGTATTTAACAAGCATTGCATCAAAATGATTAGTAATTACAAATTGACAATAATTTATTAATTTGTTAAATGATTAATCATCGTCATTTTTAATTCAATTAGTTTAAAAGTATTCACGTGTATATCATATAATATCTCATCGTAATCACGTTATATAATATTATACAATAGATTATTACACGCACGAAAATGTTTAAAATAAATCAGGAACGATTATAACGAAAATCTTACAGACGACTTTTTCAAGATTTCTTTTCGTTAACGGTTAAGGAGAGAGAGAAAGAGAGAGAGAGAGAGAGAGAGAGAGAGAGAGAGANGATAAACGTAAGATTGTTGTTATTGTATCGTAAAAATGCCGACTTTTTAAAACAAAGAACAAGCGAGAATGCGGGAGAGAGAGAGAGAGAGAGAGAGAGAGAGAGAGAGAGAGAGAAAAAATAAAAGAAAAAGTCGGCAAAAAGAAACGTCGGAACGAGGCCAACGACCGTAGCCCGAGGAAAAAGAAGCCAAACGAAATACGGATAGGTCAAAGGAACTATCTTTCCTTCATTCTCCATATAACCGAGTTTTTTGCACGTTTTCAAAGACGAGAGCCACAATATTTCATTTTTCGATACTTTGGTTGGTTTATTGAAATTTGAATTGGCGATTCCGATCCGTTTAATTGAAACTCGTCCGGCCGATCAAAGTTCCCATTTGAGAGTTTCTTCTATCTCAAACGAAAAACACGATTTAATGAGAAACTTTAAAACAATATTTAAACAACAACAACAACAAAATAATCCGCGTACTTATTTATAAACGATTGATATAAAATAACAACAAAGTAATTTTTCGCGAAACTAACGAACTTTTCAATACGATTTTATAGAACTTATTTTTTCTCTTCCAATATAAATTTTTATATAACGTGGTGGAACTGTGTGTGTTATATTATAATACATATGAGTAATCATGTTTAAGAAAAAAATTAAAATAAAAAGATTTATGATTACTTTATAAGAAAAAGTTAAGGTAATTCATATTTCGAAAAGTTTATATTACAAAAGAATAATATTAAATCGAGCAACACGTAATTTGTTAAACATCGAATGTTAGTTTGATGGTTATCGTATAAACATTTTTCATGGTTGTCATCGGAAATACCTTAAATTTACATATATACGTGAACGTTTGAAATCCTCGAAACAGTCATATCGATTTAACTTTTAGATGATTATTGTCCAGCCAATAAAAAAAATTCCCTTTTTCCGGTAATGAACGTGCCAATAATTTAATCTAACGGTACGTGTAAACACTTGTTAGCCGTGCAAACCATTCATTATTTATCCTATGGCAACACAACGAAAACGTAATAACGTTACTATTGCTATGCAATAGCACAAAAACTCCCCTGCCTGCAAGCTCTTTCTTCGTTCTCCTAAATTCCACATATTCTGTTGCATGACAAATAAATCCATTTTTTTCTTGCTTATATGGTATATATAATAATATAGCATTTAAATGGGAACACTTGTGTATCTTATATTCGATAATAATAATTGTCATCAATAAAATTCATTTTATAAGCCTTTCTTGAAGTTTCGAAACTTCTATATCGATAAAAATAAAAGTTTGTTTTATATAGATAAAAATTATTGTTTCTATGTTAGAATAAAAACCTCATTATATGAGAGTCAACTATTTTTTCTTTTTTTTTTCTTCTTATGTCAGGGTATACGTATAATATACATATAATAAAAAGAATCGTGTGTGTACGTAATACTTTTATCAGGTAACGTAAAGGAATTCAAGCAGAGAATTTAAGAAGCAACTGTCGCAGTTATAAAAGATATGCATTTACTTGAGTTTGAAAATATCTAGCAAAAGTTGAGTTACCGTGTTGACATCTGTCGAGTTACACGTTGCTTATAGATCGAATCTCTATAATGTGATACGATATACAACTTACTTTGAAAGTTTTTTTTTTTCTCTAAATGATATGCACATGAAAGTGATACAGTATATACACTATACTTATAGTCGTTACGTAACGTACAGTTTCCAGTGTTACCTGCCCTTTCGATATGGTTAAATACAGAATGAAATTAGTTATCAAATTTATTTTTCAAAAAAAGTTTTATCACGTTTCAGAAAATGAGTTTGAAATAAAATTTTTCTTATTTTTTTTTTTTTTTTTTTTTTTTTTTTGCTTTTTTTTTTTTTTAATGTGATTTTAACAAAATTAGATATTTCCCTGGCGTAAGCTATAGAAAAATCTACAAACTTTATTATTTACGTTAGTATATTTTTATCCATATGAATAAATTTACGATATAACTGAGAGAAAGGTCATAATTTCAAAAGCTATTTTTACTCTCGTACCATATTACCGGAGATTAGAAAAAAACACATATTTTTAAATCAAAATTGAAGTCAACTAATTTATGGATTTTCTTTACAAATACTTGAAAACAGTTGTACACCTTTAAACAAATTAACGATAAAACATTTAGGTGTTCCTAATTTATTTTTATATATATTACATAATATAATATTTTAATAATATATAAAAATCTAACCTTATAAAAATTCTTTGCATTTATCATGAATATTTGTACCAAAGTACTTAATGAATGCTTAATCTAATCTAATTGAAATAATTTTCCTTAATAACTAAACTTAACAGTACTAAATATCACAAACTTGTATGACCATAAAATAATAAACGATACAGCAATGCATATAACATTTCTTTACTTTTTCTTTTGTGAAGTTAATTGATGTGACAAATAAACGAATAATTTGTATAAAAATAAATTTGAAGATGCAAAGATTTAATAATATAATTACGACATTATTAAACAATGGTCACGAAATAATAACCACACACAAAAATTCTTATCATAATTTATTATTACATTGCAAATATATTTAGATTAAAAAAATTATTGTACTCATTCAATTATCATATAATTACGGTAACAATTAATATTGATATATGTACTTTAAATTAAGAAAACAAAAATATATGTAATGAAAAATTTGTTAACAGAAGGTAAATCAATGGCAACGTCGTTCGATTGCAAATTCATCGAAACGTCGGTTGGGATAAATCATAACGTGGACGAGTTATTGGTTGGACTATTAACGCAAATACGTTTAAAACTCGAAAATCCAGAAAGGACGCGTGATCTATTTCGTAAAAGGTCAAGAAAAAATCGTAGCAGATCACCGTTGGGTTCTTGTTCGGAAAACAACTCGCCAAAGAAGTACAGAGGTAGTAGGACAAGTACCAGCCTAAAGGTACGAAATTTGTTGGGTAAGGTTTGGGCAAGGGATAGTAAGTCGAAAAGTTGTGAGAATCTTCACGTTCTTTAGAAAGAAATAGAACGAAAAAAAAAAAGAAAAAGCAAAAAGAGTTAGTAAAAATCGATGACGGCGGGGTCAAATAATAAAAAAACACAACAAAAAAAAAAACAGAGAGAAATTTAAGGCCGATCCTCTCCTAATCACGCGCGATTTTTATCATCGCGAGTGAGAGAACACATACGATGAAAAAAAGGAATTTTTTCTTAGAAATAGGATTACCGGATCGATTACGCGAACGAAAAATAAAAACGATTTGTGTGAAACGGGAAAGAGAAAGAAATTATTAACCAAAAAAAAAAGAAAAATCCGAGAAAATTCATAGATAGAAGAAGTTAATGACTACCTCGAAAATATTGTGTTCACTCCTCCTCCTCCCTCCCCCCTCCCCCCCAGCAAATATGTTTCTAAATCGTCCATCATTTCTTTTGTTTTTATTTTCCTACGAAACAACCGTATATGTGTATACCCAATTAAATCGAGATTTCGACACGTTTTTAGATCGTTATAATGACTTCTATATTTCGAGAACGTCTCTACAAAAACAAAAAAAAAAAATAAAAAAAAAAAGCAAGTAAAAAGAAATAAAAACAATATAAAACAAATACGATAAATCGATACGAACGCGTGATACAGCCCCGATTTGTGCTTTAAAAATCGAAATAAACCATACGGAAAAACATGTTCGCTTAAGTAAGATCCGTTCGGATTTTTTTTAAACAAGATCAATACTTTTTGCAATAACTATTCCAGCAGCCCGAGGATAAAAAAAAAATAATAACGATATCGTTCCTCCGGTAATCCTGTTTCACGCATTTAGACAAAAAAAAAAGAAAAAAAACAAAATTATCTCTATATTATTATTATTATTATATATAAAATAAATATCTTATGTATTATATATATATTCCTCGACCAAAACGATAAACGTAAGATTGTTGTTATTGTATCGTAAAAATGCCGACTTTTTAAAACAAAGAACAAGCGAGAATGCGGGAGAGAGAGAGAGAGAGAGAGTATGAAATTAAAAAAATACACACACTTGCATACACATGTATATCGTACGTGATATTAGAAATCGATGAGGAAAAATACGTTATTGCGACAAGATGGCGTCACAGATCATTAAATCTCGAATGAAAAAAATTAAAACACAGGCAGAAAGAGAAAGAGAGAGAGAGAGAAACAAAAAAACAAAGAAGTTGAAAATAAAAAAGAACAAGAAATAATATTTCAATGTACTCTCTTATAAAATCGTAGAACAAGTTAACGATAATAAAACGAGTTGAGACTGTTCCAAAATTTTCTGGAACTCCCGAGGACATTTATTTCTGCTTACTTTGAATAACCTCGCAGCCGAAATAATGTAACAGAACGAAAATAAATTCGTTCATTCGTTTTATATACAATACGTATTATATACGTGCACAGGATATACGCACACACATACACACACATATACACTTTTGTACACGTCGAAACATATACAATATAACACATACATCCATATACGCATGTATACCTGTGCCTGAAGCTTTTTTAGGAAAAGAAAAAGAAAAGAAATGAATTTAAAAAAAAAAAAGATCAAATTGGATGTAATAACAATATGGCGACCGATTAACGAACACAAACATGCTTTCTAGACATTTTATATAGGATACACAAACACACACACATGCACACACATCTATATATATATATATATAGATTCCGAAATACGTCATTGTCAAGTAACTTATCAAACGTTGGGGCAAATAAAAATCGGTGTACGTTCACTCGTTTGTTCTCTTATAACGTTAGTAAAATGTACGAGATAAACTATCGTACATACATATGTCAGGTTTTAAAAAAAAAAAAAATGGCACATCTGCTCTGGGCTCGGTGTTATTCGTTGCTTTCGATCAAACAACGGATATTTTTTATTTTTATTTCATTTTTCTTTTTTTTTTATTTTAACTTTAAAAAGAAAGAAATGGAAGAAAATGTGTAAAGATTAAAAAATAAAAGTAAAAATTTGTTTTACTTTATTTCTTCAATCTCTCGTATCGTATATTTTATGTTATACTTCGTTCTTTATATATTCATATTTTTTCTTATTTAAATTTATTTGCACTCGTAACTATCAAAGGTCATAAATGCATAGAATAAAAAAAAGAAAAAAAAAAAAGAGAGAGAGAGAGAGAGAAAATACTTAACTCTACAATATTTTAATTATATTACTTAATCTTTCTCTGTTTTTTTATTCTTTCGCAAATTTTTTTAATATATTCTATATATTTTTGTCGTTATATTTTTCTCACAGCCCATTCATATTTACTTTTTCTTATCAATATGACACGCTGTATCTTGTAAATTAATTTTTCTCTCTCTCTCTCTCTCTCTCTCTCTCTTTCTCTCTCTACTGTTTTCGCAATGCTCTCCTTTTTTAAAATTCTACCCAGAGTGCTCATAAATTGTAAAACTTTATATTGCATCTAACAGAAATATTAATAATTCTTATTATTTGTTTTTTCTTTCTTTCTTGTTCTTTTACATAAATGGTTAGCACGCAGTTAACGATGCTCTCGCATTTTCCCTCGGTAACGACGCAAGGATTTTTATTCCGTTCGATGCATCGCAGATTAATCACAAATGCATTGAAAAGCCAAGCAAAAAAAAAAAGACAGAGAAAGAAAGAAAAAGAGAGAGAGAGAAAGAGAGAGAGAGAGAGAAAGAGAGAGAGTTAAAACAAAAGGAAATGAAAAAATTCATAAACAAATACGTGCACGTTTCATACGTATTTCGAAAATGCTTTACCTACGTATATTGAATTCACAAAACGAGCATTCAACAACTCTATTCGTGCTACGAAATTCGAATGTTCGAGCGAGAAAATATAGGTGGCGAAAAGAAATAGAAGACAAAAAAATTTTGAAAAAGATAAAACACGAAATAGTTAATCCGTCACAAAAACCGATATGCGAAGCTTGTTCTTTTTTTTTTTTTTTGCTTTTTGTTTTTATCTCGGTCTTATTTTCTTTCTTTGCCCCCGACCCTTTTATTAAATCTCGCGAAAGTTTGCAATTTTTATCATTACAAAGAGACAAAAGAATAAAAGAGAGAGAGAGAGAGATACAAACAGACAGAGATAAAATAGTCAACTAAACAAAGCAACGATCAAAGACCGCGCATGCGTTTAAATGTCAAACAAACAAGATAAACTAATGTTATCTTTCTTTATTATTATTTCCCGTGTTTTATATATTATTGATATGATTCTATATTATACTTTACTATTTTATTTATTTATTTTTTTCTACCATACCAATAGAAACTTTTAATAACGTTTATTGTGCATATCACAATGAAAAACTTCACGGTAATTTAAAAACACAATTCAGTTTATTTAAAAATCATTTGTTTTATATACGATTGCGTAAATCAGGAATGAAAACACAAAAGAAAAAAAGGATTAAGAATAATTTATATAAACGCGATCAACGATGAAAAAAAAAAAGAAAAAAAAATACAAAATAAGGAAAATAATAATTAAAAAAAATATATATATATATACAGTAATCAAAGAGTCAAAGAAAATGATTAAATACAAGTGGCATATCTAAGCAAAGGTACTCGATCTTTTTCTCTGGCGAACCGCATACATTTATCTTTTATAAAAAAAAAAAGTGGTCTGCAATGTTAGAAATGTGACAATTTATGAAACCGATGATTACAAAAAAAAAAAGCAACAAAAAAAAAGAGGTCATCAGGAATAGAAAACGAGTACCTTTATTTCATTATTTAAACATTAATGTTAACTTTGATATAGATGCAAATTCGTACCAATTTTTTTATAAAATCGGTTGGCCCTTAAGGCGGGGGAAAGGGTGGAGGGAAAAGGAGGGGGGAGGGGGTTAGGGCGTAGGTCAATTATGGCCGTTAAAAGAAGAAAAAAAAAGGTGATGAATTTATGACTGTACGTTTCGGGGCCGCAGGTTGAGGAGTATGGCTGGCTTAAAGTGTCCAAAATAATCTTCCCGACGTTTACTCGACTTTTACTTAAATCAAATAAGTATTCGTAGCTCTTCTCGGTGTCCGAATAAATACGATAAATACGCTTTTAGCCAAGTATACTACGAACGGAATAATCATTTTTGGGGAAAAAAAAGGGAAGAAAAAATTTAACAGATGATCGAACGTCCAAGTATTGTTTTTCGTTATTTAAAAAAAAGAAAAAGAAAAAAAAGAAAAGAAAAGAAACGTTTAATGTAAAACATATAATAGAACGTAATTAGTAAATTATGTATTTACATACAAAGATGTGCGTGAGTGAGTGAGTGTGTGAGCGGGTGTAGGTGTGGAACGAAAAACAAGTATTCAAGAATTTCATATAAACGGTTTGAAAATTTTACAAGTAGTTATATATTAGCATGTTAATATCAGCACTAAGAGGGCTGTTTTTGGAAAAGTTGATTACGTAGTAGTACACATTATAACATACATACATACATACGTACGTACGTACATACATGCATATATACTTACATACACATATTTAGACGCTAATGTCATTTTTTCGAAATAGATACATATAAGCAATACGTTGAAATTTATTAAAGAATTATTTATCGTTAAACAATGTGACAAAAGTAAATAAGTCGAAATCGATAAATCATCGTCGAAAGTCGAAAGAAAAAGTCGAGTTTGCTTCGTAATATTTACGAAGTATATCGTATATCTATGCATTTGTTTTTATTATTTTCTTCAAATTCCATTTTCCATGACTTGACTATTTCTTCTTTTTTTTTCCTCCCGTTATTTTTTTTCATGTATTTTCTCTATTTATAATTGTTCAGTTAACGTTTAACTCGAGGTCCAATCGACTGACTAAGCTATTACGAATGATTAATCGAATACGTTCGAACACGCAAGCGTTCAACGTATTCCAATTTTTTTTCAAATTTCGATGATCGAACGCTTCGAACGCTACAAAATAGAAATAAAAAAATACAAAAAAAAATACAAAAAAAAAAATACAAATAAAAAAAAAAGAGAAAGAGATATAGTGAAAAAGAAACGCTTATTAAGCGATTACGTTGGTATTCGCTATTGATCGTTATCTCAATGCAATTTCTCTCCCTTTTGTTTCCTACCCTCGTAGATTTGCTTTTATTGGCGTTAGAAAAATAAAAAAGAAAAAAAAAAGAAAACAACAACAACAACAACATACGGGAAACAAATCATACAAAGAAACGTAACAAACAAACAAAAGTAGAGATAGAAGGAAAGAGAAGAGATAAACAGAGAGAGAGAAAGAGAGAGAGAGAGATAGTAAAAGGAAGAGAGACGAAGAATGATCTCGCATAAATTTACACCAATTTTTTACATTAAAATTTTGTACGAGTAACGTAGAACTCATCGTTTATTACGTATGTAAGTAAAAAAAAAAAACCAAGCATCGTTTAACGCATGAATATTTACGTCGTAGATGAAAAGACATTTTTCTAAAGAAAAAAAAAGAAAAAAAAAGATACAAGTTAAGAAACGCAAAAGGAAACAGTAACATATAAACAAACAAGCAAACAAGAAAAGAAAAAGAAAAAACGAAGGAACGACGAACGATTGCATAAATAATCTCAAAGTCTAACAATTCCATCGTCGCGATTATAAAAAACTGTCATTTTTCTTCTCTACCTCTTCATAATACTGGTTAATTAAAAATCATAATTAAAAAGATAAACATCGGATGGTAATTACGCGCGTAGACGATTGAGGAAAACTTCTAGTATTTGAATATAGTATTATAGGTGTAGTAGCAATTAATTCGGATTAGTTAACAAAAATACAACAAAAAAAAAAAAGAGAAATTAAGCGAGAGAAAATAAAAGAGAAAGAAGAGTGAGAGAGAAGGAAAGAAGAATACGAATAATAAAAAAAGAGAAAGAGAGAGAGAGAGAGATAAACGAAAATGATAAAAAAAAAGTGAGAAATAAAAAGAAAAAGAAGAGAAGTGGAAAAAAGAGAGAAACAAGTATGAAAAGAAGAGGAAAGATGGAAATAAATAAGACTCGAAGGAAAGAAATAAGAACGAGAGAAGAAAATAGAGCAACAAGATGGTGAATGAGTTTGAGGGAGGGTAACAGTGTAGGGGAATGAAAAAGAGGACGGGGTAGATGGGAAAAAAAAGAAAAGTATCACCGTCATAAATCGTTTTCTCCATCCTCTTGTCTACTTGTCCTTCTTCGTCTTCGTCGCAATAATTTTCCTATAGAAGCAAAATAAAATCGTCGACGAAGCTTTCGAAGGCTTTCTCACGTTTATAAGAGCTAGTAGCGGAGAGAGCTTCGCAGTATGTCACTTTAGAAGGCAAATATATTGTAAAT